ATCAATCAATGGTCAGAAATAATACAGAAAGAAAGGACATATATATTATGTATGCATTAGAATACAGTTCATGAACTTTTCTACCACCCACAAAATAAGCGTCCACAACAATCAGCAACCAAACTAACATAAATAATGTTAAAATATATGTAACGTAATAATGTCATGTAATAATATATGAATTAAGGAAACGACTTCACAGAAAGTCTGCTCATGTCACAGTTCCATAAATGAACATCGGCCTGTAGTGAGGTAGCCTACATAAGCTACCAATCAGGTGTTTCACAACACTCATGTCATTTTCAAAACTGTTATATTACACTGTGGGAGGAGGGGAGCGGGGGGATTTCGGACGAACACACACACACACACACACACACACACACACACACACACACACACACACACACACACGTGCAAGCACACACACACACTAACATTTACAAGAGTAAAACGTAGAGCGCTATCATCAAGCCACACCTTTGATCCCCTTATCAGAAGGGGGCTTATCCTTTCAAGTGGGCAAAAGAATACATACATGTGTGTGTGTGTGTGTGTGTGTGTGAAAGACAAACAGTTATTCACAAGGGCTTGGATCTGTCTGCACACCAACATACCATACTGGGTCCACCACCACGTTTAGTTTGCCACGGCTGTAACCACTCTGATCAGCGAGGGCTTTCAGGTGCACTCATCAGCCTCCTGCTCCGGGTGATGGATTGGAGGTCAGCGGTCCTGGCGACCGGAGGGTCCGTGTGCTCATTCAAACTGGTCAACGCTCTGGTCGGACGCCTGCAGGCGCCACAGGGAGCGTGCAGCAAAGCCTGGAAGTGGCGCAACATCGCCACCTCTTTGGTTCACAGCTCTGTGTCGGGATCGTGGGCAGTGTTGTGGTGCGTATACACATCTGTCTGTCTGTCTATCACAGTGTATCTAAATATCTATCTATCTAGTCCCCCTCTCGCTAATAATTGATATATAGTATCAGGTTAAAATTAAATGGGGGGATTTGTTTTTTACACCCCATACAGTTTCTGGCGCCATCCTCAGATGGCAGACGACCTGATCTCCACTCACACCTTGTTCTCCCACAGCCTCGTCGTGGTCTCTACAGGTGAGAGAGATATTCTGTCTGATGCCACACACACTTTATATCTGGAGTAGAATTCAGGTGTATCTGTTCACATCAAAATTAACACATGTACATGTAAACATTGTAAAAAGGAAAGGGTTGACTCAAAAAGTCAAAAGACTTTCTTCAAAAGCAGCAGACTTTTGTGTGCATAAGATCACAATTTTACTAAGTGACTAACTAGTGACTTACTAAGTGTGTGTGTGTGTGTGTGTGTGTGTGTGTGTGTGTGTGTGTGTGTGTGTGTGTGTGTGTGTAGGTTATTTCATCTATGACGCTATGGATTTGCTCCTTAATCAGTCATTTAAACGGTCTTGGGAGGTGCTCCTACACCACTCAGTGGTAAGAGATGTGTGTGTGCTTGTTTTTCCCTGGATGTGTTTGTAAGTTAACATTGGTGGGTTTGAGTTTGTTTGTCTCTGAATGTGTTTGTCTCTGAATGTGTTTGTTATGAAGTGATTGTGTGTGTGTGTGTGTGTGTGTGTGTGTGTGTGTGTGTGTGTGTGTGTGTGTGTGTGTGTGTGTGTGTGTGTGTGTGTGTGTGTGTGCGTATATGTGTGTGTGTGTGTGTGTGTGTGAGTGTGTTTGTGTGCGTGTGTGTGTGTGTGCGTGTGTGTGTGTGTGTGTGTGTGTGTGTGTAACCATGCACATATAGTTGTGTTCTAGGTCTACATGCTCTGTGTGGACTGGGCTGTGCTCATAACTAGGTTAGTGAATGATTGTATAACCTTCCCTCCCTTACTGGTCCCAGCCTTGATCTCTGTTCCACTCTTCTTCGTTCTAACCTATAAAGACACACGGCCTCCTTCACCTCCAGTCTTAAAGCCACAACTTCCACCTTAGGGTCAACAGTACTTATAGATGGAGCTGAAGATAAAAAAAATATTATATCTAACAGAAAACGTGACTGTGGTTAACAAACCAAAACGTATGTGCAAGGAAGTCGATTAGTGTGTGTAGTTCAGTGTGTAGTTGTTTAATAACTGCCATGATGTTATGTTTAATAACTGGCTTGCATCACCACCTGTAGCATAACCGTGCTACACCTAATGCAATGGGCTGGTGAGGGGTTTCCTCCACATTGACAAACAATTCCATGTAATGTATTTTTTTGTTATGGTTGAAAAAATATAAATAATAAGATATAAAGTATGCATATGTATGCCAAGTGAATTTATAGATTATATAGAATTTTACCAGTTGTGATGTTGATTAGTCATTCAAAAATCTATCTTATAGTGGCATCACAGGTTTAAAAAGATGATTTGTTGCTTTATGTTTCTTTTTGTTATATTATTCTCTCCATCCTGATAGAACAACAGAGAAGATAATATATGATACGCTATACAATAATATATGGTAATACAA